CAGCTGCATAAGAGCTGAGGGAAGAGAAACATCAGCACAATGATGTTCCCAGTGAATGATTGTGCAGTAGGGGCATGTCAGCAGAAGTCTGATCATTGGAAGACAGCAGGTTGAGTTCCCAGCATAGCTAGAGAACTGACCATGCTGTGCTCCTACCTAGTGTGGTCAATTTTTAACAGAGAAGCAGAGGGACTGGCAGGAACACCAGGGATTTCACACAAAGGAAGCAATACAATGACAACAGGATATTTTTTCATAGAAGTACATGGTACAGCAGGCACATATCTGGAATATGAAATGTTGGGTTTACATATTCTTTAATTGCTTCCATAACTACAGTGTGAACTAACGGTTGGGCTTCAATTTATTAGTGTATCTAAATCTGCTAATACATCTAACATTCCCCTGCCCTTAAACTGACAATGCCACTGTCCAAAGGTGCCCCCTGTGCTTCTTCATCCAGAGTGGGGGCACTCTAAAACAGGAGGTGTGTTACTGGCCAGATCACCAGGTGAAAATAGATAAAATAAAAACTAAAAAATAAAAACCAATACAATATATTGCATTCTTAGTTTTGGGTTTAATACCATTTTAACGCCCTCAGCTCAGGGGCATATTTACCACAAGGCAAACAAGGCATTTGCCTAGGGCAACATTTTTCAGGGGGGCAGCTCCGCCCCCCGAAAGAAAGCACACACACAGCATGGGGACCAGGTGGGATCTGAGAGAGGCTGTGGGCTGCTTGATGGTGTATGCAAAGCCTGACTCTTGTTCCCGGGGATGTCCGGAGCTGTGAAGGTGAGTGTCTTCTCTATCGCCGGGGGGTGGGGGTGGAAGGCTCTGGTGGTAGTGGGGATTGGGGGGGCTGGGGTGTTGTTGGTCAATGTCAGGCTCTCTTCGTGAGGGAGTGGGGTGTTGGTCGGTGTCAGGGTCTCTTTATTGGGGGGAGACGATTTTTGTGTTGCCTAGGAAAGCACAAAACCTAAATACACCACTGCCTCAGCTCACTATTTGCCAAAGTAGGGGGCTGTGTAAAATCTGACCCCCTATCTGAAATCAACTGTGCTACAACATGTTGATTGTTACCAAAGGTGCTGCTACGGATACCTATTAGATTCTATGCATTGATGATAGCAATGCATAGAACCAGGTGAAAATAGATGAAATAAAGCCTAAAAAAGTAAACACCAATACAACCAGCACATGTAATGATTGGTGAGCTGCAATATATTGCATTCTTGGTTTTGGATTTAATACCGCTTTCATGCACTCAGCTCACTATTTCCCAAAGTAGGGGGCTGTGTAAAATCTGACCCCCTATCTGAAATCAACTGTGCTACAACATGTTGGTTGTTCTATGCATTAGTGGTAGCACCTGCAATAGTAACTACTCCATTTTAGCAATGATGATTTTAAAAAAATAGTTGCACAAATAGCTTCTACCTATTCATAATGTACAAGGAAAAAATATCTAAAATAAGCTACACAGATTAGGTATTCTTGCACCTGTTCACTTTAACTGATTTTAACACATCAATGAATAAAGTGTGGGCCACTACCCAGAACTGGGAAGACAGTTTTGCTTTAAATGTCACACTCCAGTAGTTACACCAGTGTTTGCTTTTTTAAACAATAGGTGACTTCTTGTAGTCTCCTGTCTTGTCTGAAGCAGAGTGAGCATGCTCAAATGTACACAAATATTACAAATGTCAAGGCACTATGATAATACATTTTATAAGGGAATCTTTAACCTCTACAATACCAGGCATTTTTACCCCCTTCCTGCCCAGGCCAATTTTCAGCTTTCAGCTCTCTTGCAATTTTAATGACAATTACGCAGTCATGCAACACTTATATTGTAAAGAGCTGAGCAAACTGTTGGCGCTATATAAATCCTGTATAATAATAATAACACTGTACCCAAACAAAATTTTTATTCATTTTGTTCACACAACTAGAACTTTTCCTTTGGTGGTATTTAATCATCACTGGGTTTTTATCTTTTTGCTAAATTAACGAAAGAAGACCAAAAATTTTTACATTTTTGTTATAACATTTTGCAAATAAATAATTGTTCATCATAAATTTAGGCCAAGATGTTTTCTGATAAATTTCTTTGGTGAAAATAACCTTTATTTAGTCTGTAAGAAAGTTATAGAGTTCACAAACTATGATATACAGTTGTGTTCAAAATAATTAATAGCAGTGTGTTGAAAAAAGTGAATAAAGCTCAAAATCCTTCTAATAGCTTTTATTTCCATACACACAAATGCATTGGGAACACTACACATTCTATTCCAAATCAAAACATGAAGAAAAATAGATCAAATTTGTGTTGTAGCTCTAAAAAAATTGAAGAAAAGTGAATATTAGACTGTTCAAAAAAATAGCAGTGTTTGTATTCTTCTTTACAAACTCAAACATTCACTATATAAACTGAAAAATGTTTGAAGATTTTGCTTTCCTTTGAATCACTTCATTAATATTTAGTTGTATAAGCACTGTTTCTGAGAACTGCTGTACATCTGTGTTGTATGGAGTCAACCAACTTCTGGCACCTGTGAACAGGTATTCCAGCCCAGGATGATTGGACTACATTCCACAGTTCTTCTCTATTTCTTGGTTTTGCCTCAGAAACTGAATTTTTGATGTCACCCCACAAGTTTTCTATTGGATTAAGATCCGGGGATTGGGCTGGCCACTCCATAACGTCAATCTTGTTGGTCTGGAACCAAGATGTTGCACGTTTACTGGTGTGTTTGGGGTCGTTGTCTTGTTGGAACACCCATTTCAAGGGCATTTCCTCTTCAGCATAAGGCAGCATGACCTCTTCAAGTATTCTGATGTATTCAAACTGATCCATGATCCCTGGTATGCGATAAATAGGCCCAACACCGTAGTATGAGAAACATCCCCATATCATGATGCTTGTGCAACCATGCTTCACTGTCTTCACAGTGTACTGTGGCTTGAATTCAGTGTTTGGGGGTCGTCTGACAAACTGTCTCCGGCCACTAGACCCAAAAAGAACAATCCTACTTTCATCAGTCCACAAAATGTTGCGCCATTTCTCTTTAGGCCAGTCAATGTGCTCTTTGGCAAATTGTAACCTCTTCAGCACATGTCTTTTTTTCAAGTGGGACTTTGCGGGGGCTTCTTGCAGATAGCTTGGCTTCACATAGGCGTCTTCTAATTGTAACAGTACTCACAGGTAACTTTAGACCTTCTTTGATCTTCCTGGAGCTGATTGTTGGCTGAGTCCTTGCCATTTTGGCTATTCTTCTATCCATTCGAATGGTAGTTTTTCACTTTCTTCCATGTCTGTCAGGTTTTGGTTGCCATTTTAAAGCATTTGCGATCATTTTAGCTGAGCAGCCTATCATTTTCTGCACTTCTTTATATGTTTTCCCCTCTCCAATCTACTTTTTAATCAAGGTACGCTGTTCTTCTGAACAATGTCTAGAACAACCCATTTTCCTCAGAATTTCAGAGAGAAATGCACTGTAACCAGCATGTACAACATTTGCTGCCTTCCTTCCTTAAATAAGGGCAATAATTGCCACCTGTTTTTTAAAGAATGAATGACCTCACTAATAGAACTCCACACTGCTATTATTTTGAACATGCCGCTTTCAATTAGTGATTCAATTACACAGAATCAGCAGCATGCATGTCATGACTGTTGGGTCTGTTGGATTTCTATTACTCTACTACACCTGCTAGTAAATTATTTGCCATGTAGAAATATAATTTCTACCAAAAACAGTGATTGATCAGGTTAGTGATGTCTGACTTCTATTATTTTGAACACAACTGTATATAATTTTTTGAGACGGGTAGAGCTTTCTGTGATGTTTTAACCCTTGCCTCCTGTGCACATATACTGTATGTGGCCTAACAGAAGTGGGTTTTCTTCCTTGAGGCCGCATATATCCCTATATGCATTTATGCTGGGAATGCGCAGCACAGTGCACTCCCAGCACAGAGACCAGGCTCTGACCAACAGGCCCGGGCCTCATACTAACAACTAGAATCCTGGAGGCCCGGTTCCTGATCACCCGATAGCTTTCATAGTCTCTGATTGTCGATCACAGTGATCAGTCAATGTACAGCCCACCCCTGTGTTTTTTTTTCTTCTGAATGGAGAGAAAAATACATTATATCTTTTTTTCCCTGCCAGAGGAGAAAAATGTAAACAAAAGAGTGTAAAAAAAAAATAGTAATAAAGATAAAATAGCTAGATCAGGGTATGATCTAGGTCAGTGACAGGGTTAAGGCCAGGGTCAAAGGTCAAGGTTAGAATCCAAGGTGAATGGTTGGGGTCAAAGGTTAGTGCCAGTGTCCTTTGGGTGAGATTTTTTTTTCTTTAATTAGCATGTGTCAATTAGTGTCAGTGTGTTTTAGGTAAGATAAAAAAAAGTAAAATGCAGAACACTGTTTCTGGGCACTACTCTGGGAACAAACAACAAAGAATGTACACATATGTGATATCATTCCAATCATTAGAAGCAGGAGAATTCATTTTTTGGTTGTTCTTTGGTGGTAGATTATGGTAACAGCAAGAAATATACAAGTAAATGTAAATATTTTTTTCTTTACTATTTTGGGCCAGTTTTCCTTTGATACTGAAACAAAAAAATAAATCAGGAGAGTTTACTACCAAACCAGCCTTGAGGTTAAAATATTTTAGTGACGCTTCATGAGATTGAAAGTGAAGGATTTAAGTATATAATTACAACCATATCTAACATGCAAATTATATGTGTGTTTCTTCCTAACAAAAACAGACATTTTGTTCAGCAGTATGTGAACAATGTTTACACATTTTATTATCTGAAAAATAAAAACTGTTTAACCGCCTCCTGCCCGCCATATAGTAATATGACGGACGCAAGGTGGTTCTCTCATTCTGGGAGGACGTCATATGATGTCCTCCCATTCTCACCGCGCATGCGTGGCTCCTGAAGCGCGCAGCGCGCGGCGATCGGTGGTGCGCTGTGTTCCTCGGACACAGCAGATCACCGATCCACGGAAAGAGCCAAAGATGTCGGCTCGGTCATGTGATCAGCTGTGTCCAATCACAGCTGATCACATGTAAACAGGGAAATGCCGAATATCGCCATTTCTCTCCCAACGAGCTGTCACACTGACAGAGGAGAGGAGAGCAGAGCCGGTAATCGTCATTCCTCAGAGGAGACATGTACTCAGATCATCAGGGCAGTGATGATCAGTGTGCCCTGATGATCTGTGTAGCCCCAGCAGCGCCACTTGTCAATGTCTATCAGTGCCAACTCTCATCCATGCCACCTGCCAGTGCCCATCAGTGCCACAGCAATGCCACATATCAGTGCCTACCAGTGCACATCAATGCCATATATCAGTGCCCATCTGAGCTGCCTTTCAGTGTCACCCATCAGTGCCAGTCAGTGCCACCTATCAATGCCAGTCAGTGCCACCTATCAATGCTGCCAATTAGTGCCATCTATCAGTGCCAGTCAGTGCCACCTATCAGTGCTAGTCAGTACTGCCTATCAGTGCCCGTCAGTGCTGCCTATGAGTGCCGCCTATCAGTGCCAGTCAGTGCCGCCTATCAGTGCCATATATAAGTGCTGCCTTTCAGTGCCCATCAGTGATGCCTGTCAATGCCCATCAGTGCCACCTATCAGTGTCCATCAGTGCAGCCTATCAGTGCCCATCACTGCAGCCTCATTAGCGCACATCAGTGAAGGGGAAAAATCACTTATTTACAACATTTTATAACAAAAACTAAGAAAAAACATTTTTTTTTTTCAAACTTTTCAGTGGTTTTTGGTTTCAGTTTAAGAAAAAATAAAAAACCCAGAGGTGATTAAATACCACCAAAATAAAGCTCTATCTGCCACAAAAAAATGATAAAAATTTCATATGGGTACAGTGTTGCATGACACCGCAATTGTCATTCAAAGTGTGACAGCGCTGAAAGCTGGAAATTGGCCTGGGCAGGACGGGGGATACCTAGTAGGCTAGTGGTTAAAGCAATATGATTGTATTGTGCTTTAAAAGAGAAGTTCAGGGATTTAAAAAAATAACCATCATACTCACCTAGGTGAAGACCAAGAACTGAGAGATCAAAGACTGCTGACTGCCCAGTTCTTGATCTTCAGTGAGAAAGAGTTGGTGACTATCAATCACCATCTCTCTGCTCTGCACCTCCAATGCTCACTGGAGCAATGGGGCTGTGCAGGGGGGGTTGAGAGGAGCGCTAGCTCAGTCACCCAGCAGTTTCACTGAGAGCTCAGCCAGCTCCTGGTCCAGATATCTGGGTGGATCCCGACATTAAAATTCACACCTAAGGGTAAAACAAATCTTAATGCTTAAGCACAATCTTGCAACTTTGGCATGTGTTAGTAAAACCATACATATCATCACAACTCTTTGTGCATCCAGATGGATTATACCTTGTTTTTTTCAGTACAAATTGGGCTTTAATTTGGTGGTACATGGTAATGGACTCCTGATTTTTTTTTATTATCAAAGGAAAACTGGCCAAAAATAGTAAAAAAAAAAATCATTTCTTTTAATTTAGCTGTGTGTTTCTTGTTATGACCATAACCTACCACCAAAGAACAACCCAAAATACATTTTCCAGCTCTTGATGATCACAGCAATACCATATATGTATATGTTATTTGTTTCGTACACAGTCCAGAAACAATAGTGCGCATTTTGTTTTGTATTTTTTTTTTTTTACCTAAAAACACACTGACCCTAACTGACACCGATACCAATGAAAAAAAAATCCTGACCTTTGACCTTGACCCAAAGTATTAACTAACTAACAGTGGTACTGAATTAGATCAAACCTTGATTTAGGTATTTTGTCTTTATTTTTTCTTTTCTTTTTTTTATATTTCTTTATTTTATCTTTTTTTTTTCTTTAACAGTTTTGTGTTTTTTTTCTTCTATGCAAGGAGAGAGGGAGATACAATGTACCTCTCTCCTCCATTCATAGAGAGAAAAAAAAACAAGGGGTGGGCGGGCTGTACAGTGACTGATCACTGTGATAGCCAATCAGAGGTTATCACAGCAATCATGTGACCCGGAATCGGGAGTACCGGGTCCCAATCGTTAGAACAGGACCCACGGTTCTCAGTGACACCCCGGTCTTTGTGCTGGGAGCATGTTGTGCGGTGTGCTCCCAGCACAAAGACAGGTACGCAAATATGCGGCCCCATGGACAAAAGCCCAGTTCTGTGAGGCCGCATATTTGTGTTTATGTCGGTGTGAAGGGGTTAAAGTCTGGATCGCTCAAGACATTAGCCCACTGTCTGTTGAATATCGGTCACACAGAACTAAGTGCACTTCTGTGACCCACAGGGGAAGGAAGGACCAAAATAGCTTTGACCCTACTTCTCCTTTACCTATTTGAGCTTTAGATGTGGTGTCTACTAGACATAACCAACCTGTCTCTGGAATAATACCTTTCAATCTTACCTGAACTTTGCGTACAAACGAAGGCGTCACGCGTTTCTCAAAATCATCAATCGGAGTGTAAGAGTTCAGGATCTTGACAATCTACAATAATACAAAAACCAAGACACAATTATCCTTAACATTGAAATTACACTTTAAGACTTTTTCAACTAAAAAAGCTGCTTTGCTGTTTTATTGCCAAATTCAAACATGAATACCTGCATAGGGGAAAGGGCCGTACATCGCTCACATATTTCTTTGGCATCTTCGTCTTTGATCTTTTTCACCTGTAGTAGCCATGCAGCTTGGGAAAGGGGTTCCAGAGTCTCTTTGGCTGTGCTTCCTTGTAGATTCTTCCCCTGTAGCCATTCTTCTAAATAACTTATATTGCACCTACAAATAAACAACAGGCTGGTGTTACATGAAAACGCCATCATCATCCATCAAGAACCAGTGTATTCATAACATTCACTTGGGTACCATGTTTCAAACCAGAGGAAAGTCACTTTGTTAGATACTGTATATACCATATTGAACCTTTAAGGTGCACTGACACTGAACACAGTTGAAGTGAACTATGTCCAAGTTCAATTGTTCCCCCCGCACACACACATCATCACCTTTGCTCATCAGACCACAGTGATCCCTACTTCTGTGCTCAGTGATCAATGGAGAGTTATGTGCTCAGGCGGGCTGGTGCACCATGCCTAGGCACAGTTAAAACTTTTAAAACAGTTAAAAGCATGAGTAAACCCTTAAGCCAACTGCCAATCATGTTTAACAAATCTCTAACATGGGCATAGCATCTGAATGTACATTTATTGATTCCTAAATCATCTCCTTTTTAGCAAGGTATCACCCAGACCTGGCCACACTGAGCAATCAGGGCCTTCCCACAAAAGAAGTAAATAGTCTCTAGGACAAAGTGTTGCTAACACTTAACAGTAAAATCACTGTTAAGGTGCAAACACACGTCAATTAGTTTTGTACGGCTTGCTATATTTGTGCTTTTACTAAAGAAATCTTCTCAATTACCTGGACTTTTTCCTGTCAACTTGGTTACTTCAAAGTGCACTGCATGGCCAAAGGCAAGGCTTGTAGTCTTTGAATGCTGGTTTGGATGATGGTCTGTTGTTCCTGGCGGTAGCAGTATTTTCGAATGCTTGGATAATCAGGGTCTTTACTTTGCTCCAACTTTGGAGCTTTAGCACACTCCCTACTATTTCCCTATCCAATTCAAGGTTCTGTTTGATAAATATGGTTGTGTATAGGGATCTCAGAACTTAGAGAAGAACAATTAAAGGTACATGAAGTTAAACTGTGATGTCTGGTCTTATGTGCAGTAAGAAAATATGATAAAAAAAATTACATTTCAGAATGAAAAGTGGTGCTGTCTATTCACACATCTCAGTAAAGCGGCAGCAAAGAGAGACATTTCATACATGTTTTAACTCTATACTTTGCCCCAACACTGAAATTTAAGTCAAGCTTACGATTTACACAATGAAATAAAACAGACAGACCCTTAACCCAATTCACCCCTCACCTTAATTCTTAATCTAACTCAGTGGTCTCCAAACTGTGGCCCGGGGGGCTGAATGTGGCCCTTTGCTTGGCCTATCAGGCCCTTTGGGGCACTTTTCCACCCACTGATACCAGGCACTATTCCTTCTAATTACACCAACAATGGAGTATAATTACTGTTACTGATACCAACAATAGGTATTCCTACCAATGACAGCAATGATGGGGCACTATTCATACAATTGTCACCAATGATGGGTTAGCATTCCTACCACTGACACCAATGTTATGAAATTATTCTTCCCACTCACACCAATGATTGGGCACTAATTCATACCACTGGCACCAATGTTATGGAACTATTCTTCCCACTGACACCAATGATGGGGCACTATTCCTACCACTGACACCAATGTTATTGAACTATTCCTCTCATTGACACCAATGGTATGGAACTATTCTTCCCACTGACACCAATGATGGGGCACTATTCCTTTCCCTGATGCCAACAATAGGACACAATTTTTTCCCCTACTACCAACAGTGGATCACTATTCCTCCTATCAATACCAATGACAAGGCATTGTTTATTCCCATTGACGTCGGGGCACTTTCTACTCACACTGGCCACAGTCAGGACCCCTCAATGTCTGAAGGACAGTAAACTGGCCCTTTGTTCAGAAAGTTTGGAGACCCCTGATCTAACTCTAAATGAATTCCTAACACTCCCTAAAGCTGAATATATTATCTGCACCAGTAGTGCTCAACACAAAATCTCTGCTGTTTCTGTGCCAAACTGGTGCAAGAAAAATGAACTGCCCTTGGTAAACATGTAAGAACTTTCCCTTCCAATTGCTATTCAAACACATTGTGACATTCTTATTCACAATGTATAAGGTGGGAGGCATCTGTGCAGTTTCTCCAAAAACTAACTTAGCTGCTCATAGTAGCACTTTTACCATTAAATTCTGCATAGTATATTAAAATATAAAAAAAATAGTACATTATAAATGAATGGTTTCATAGTGTCCTCCATAAAGAAGATCATAGTTTGTTGCTAATAATGCCTTCTTAAGCCAAGCTTATATCCTTACCTCTGATTAATGTCCATACCTTATCTGCATTCCTTTTCTACAAGAACACATGTCCTTACGCAGGAAAAGGCTATTTAGTGTGACAGTGGAAATCAGGAAGAAAAGTTGCTTCACAGTTTGTTTCTGAAGTTCAGGGTCCATGCCATGCTGACACATGGTGGTATAAAAAATAACTCAGCTGCTGGAGAATGGAAGTCATGGTATATGCATCTGTGTCATCGATGCTAGATGAGCGCTTACGGAATCCTGTGGGTTTTGCGACTGATATTCCATGAAGGCTTTCATATTCCAACATCCCGGGCACTGCAATAATGCATCATCAGACAGTATTTAACTGCACAAATACTTATTAACATTACAATCACTTCCCACCATTGCTGAAGCCCATCTGATGAGAGATGAGTAGCCACTGTAGCACCAAGCACTCAGGG